ATGCCCGTGCCAATTGGACCGTAAATGGCACGGGTTTTGCAGCAGTTTACTAGTCGAATCGGCACGGGATTTGGCACTGGTAATGATACGTAAATGTTACTATTGATTGGGAGCGCGATGGTAGTCTAAGGTATAAATAGTAAGCATGAAAGGTTATAAATATCCTTCGTTTCGATATAGTCATGTGTTAAGAAATCATGACTACGTGAATTTAATCGGGGTAATTAGTTTATCGGACCAAATCTGGGTTGTACGATCGATTTTAAGGGTTATGCAATATGCAATGTAAAAACTTTAAGGGTATGGTTCGCACAGTTGACTCAAAGAAAACAATTACCAGGAGAAAGTGTGGACAACTATCACACAGCGATAGAAGAAATGATCCGGCGGGTAGAATCTGGAGGGCATCAATATCCAGACACAGCTAAAGCCCAAATGTTTATTAATGGGCTACGTCCAGAACTTTATACCATGGTATCTCCACTAACTCCCAATACCCTAGAAGAAGCTTGTACTCGTGCTAAAGCATTTGAGAATGCTTATAAAAGTAGCCTTATGCATATGGCTCTACTAGGCCAGCCGGCAGTATACCCTTCATATGCTCTTTCTTTCTGGTATGTTAGGGACAATACCCACCACTCCCCAAATGTAAATAGAACTGAAGATGTTTTAAATAGCTAACTGAAGCCATTAACCGGATGATGACTCAACGGCAAGAACCTAGGCGACCTTTTCGATCTAGACAACCCGGTACTCCAAATAATGTACCTCAAGGGATTGTATACTACAATTGTGGACAACCTGGACATATAGTTCGTCAATGTCCAAATCTTGTAGCCCCAGTCAACAATGGGAATCCAATCCAAAATACTCCAGCCCAAAATATCCCAGTAAGAACTACTCCCGTCCAGAATACTCCAGCCGTGAATGGTCTAAATTCACAAGACGCCGTTCAGGCTCTCTTGGCCTTAATAAATAATAATACTAACAATTCTGATAATTTGTCGGGTCAACCCTCGTTTTTGGGAATACCGGAAGGCCATGAATCTTTATTCCTTGCAGCTAACTGGCATGAATGCCCAAGGCCCATAGTAAACACTCCCCTTTTTCGAAAGAAGAAGACAGTCCCCACTCAACACTCTTCAGTGGGATTGGTTGAAACTGAAGGTACTTTGGCCGTTGATGAAGAAATAATACCAGTTGAAGAAGGACAAGATTTACAAGAACAAGAAAAACGAGATGGGCTCAAACCCACCCCACCAGAAAATCAACCAGAGAAATTCAAACGAACTCCGATAACAAAATGGAAGGTTGTAAAAGAGGAATTGCCACAAATTTCTTTGTTAGTCTCTCCCTACTCTAAATTAGCAGATATAAGAGACAAACTGGTGAATATCACCTATGGACAATTATTAAGGGCCTCACCGAATATAAGGCAAGATCTGACTCGCTCTTTGCAAAAGAAAAGAGCTGTAGTCCGAAAAAGAGCTCAAGAGAATGTCAATATTTAGCCTACGTCCAAGTCTACGGCTTTATATTGTGATGCCATGGTTTTGGAGAAGAAAATTCCACTAATAGTGAATAGCAGGTCTTCAGGAAGCGTTGCTACGTCCACCCTTTTACATCAGTTAGGGATTAAAGTCGAAAGACCATCAGTAGTGAGTATGGTCAATATACATGGAGAAAGCAAAAGGGCTATAGGAGAGATGTCAGATTTTCTATTTTGTATTGGTGGAGTTGAAATTCCCATAGACATCATCGTGACCGATGCAACAGCATACAGTGCTATCATCGGAAATGATTGGCTTGCAAGGCCAATGCTACCATTGATTGGAATAAGTCTGAAATGACTATATTATGGAATGACAAGAAAATAATAATCACTGTTGAATTTAGGAAAATGTTAAGGACACCAATCGAAGAAAAATGATTCGTAGTAGTTAAAGAAATAGGAGATATAGAGGATGAAGAAGAGAATTCTGATGAATATGAGGAAGAAGACCTGGAAGAAAGAATTTTTGCTTATTGGGAAATTGACTCAGGGGAAATAACTGAAGATGAATTATATCAAGAAAGAGAAGATAAGGTATGTAGATGGAAAGGCTATGAAAATGAAAGATTGTTATGGACTATCGAAGGAGGAAGCATAATAATAGAGGACAAGAATGACGAGGAGAAAAAGAAATTTTCGGGTTTATGGCCAGTAACTCTATATCACCATTGCGAAGAAATTTTACCAATATCTGACCTCTTCGATTATTACTATGAGAATGAGGTTCAGATAGGCATCAGATATAATGTTGAAGACCTAGAGATGGCTCAGCAGGATCAACTTCACTTATTATTGGATGAATACGAGGGTTTAGGTGCTCAAAGCCTTAATGAGCTAGGAATAAGCAGAGCCATCCAACATAAAATCCACATTCAGGATGGGTGGCCTATCAAACAATGTCCATACCGATATTCACCAGCCGAAAAGAAGTTTCTAGAAGAAGAAATAAAAGCTATGTTGGCCGAAAATATTATTAGGCCTTCCAGTAGTCCTTGGAGTTCTCCAGTGGTATTGGTAAAGCAAAAATCTCAAAAGATACGCCTTTGTATAGATTACAGAAAACTAAATGCCGTAACAATTAAAAATAACTACCCTTTACTATGGGTAGACAACCTTTTAGATTCACTGAATGGAGCATCGTGGTTTACCACGTTGGACCTTGCCAGTGGGTACTGGCAGGTCGAAATATTGGAGGAAGACAAGCTAAAGACTGCCTTTGTAACTCCTTAGGGCATTTTCGAATTTAACATTATGCCCTTTGGCCTTACGAATGCTCCAGCTACATTCCAACGGTTGATGAACCAAATCTTTAGGGACATCATAGGGAAATACATTGTTGTCTATTTAGACGACTTAAATATTTATTCCAAGACATTCGAAGAACACTTGGACCATTTGCGAGAAGTCTTCGAAAGACTATGGAAAGCCAATTTGAAAGTTAAACCGCCAAAGTGTTTCCTTTGCCAAAGGAAACTTAAATTCCTGGGTTATATGATAGAGGCCCAAGGAATTTCTACCGATCCCGAAAAAGTTCGGGCAGTTCAAAAATTCCCAATCCCCAAGAATTTAAGACAGTTAAGAGGATTCCTTGGATTGGTATCTTATTATTGGCAATTTATATCCGGATTCACTAATATCGCAGGATCTCTAAACGCTTTATTAAAGAAAAATGTGAACTATCATTGGACTACCCGACAGCAAGAAGTGTTTGAAGAGCTTAAAAGTAAACTCGTGACTGCTTCTATCTTGGCTTATCCAAATTTTGAAAAACTCTTCATTCTTTTTATGGATGCTTCTGATATAGCTTTAGGGGCTATACTTTCGCAGCTTGATACGGAGGATAAGGAAGAGTAATATCCTATGCAAGCCGCTCTTTATCTCCTGCTGAAAAAAATTATACAGTCACTGAAAAAGAGTGTCTTGCAGTAGTATGGGCGGTTTCATACTTTAGACCATATCTCCATGGATCCCATTTTACTCTCTATACCGACCACTCCGCATTAAAATCATTATTTTCTCATCGGCTACCCCAAAATCGACTGGCCAGGTGGATCCTAACCTTGCAGGAATATAATTTTACTACCATCCATAAATCAGGAAAACTACACTTAAATGCCGATAGTTTATCCCGAATTTAAAGACAACCCACCAAAAAGTTCTATATTTTATCTCTTATAGCCATACCGACGCCGATTACGGAAACCCCATTTTTGATTTGATGAACTTAGAAATATATAAAACTTTCATAGACTATCTTAGCTAGTCTAAAATACCCCCTAATCACAGTAAACATGAATTAAAACATAAGACTCGACATTACTTTGTTAGAAGTAAATTATTGTATAAAACTAATCCAAGAAATCCTGAAAGACCCCTAAGAGTCTTAAGGCCTTTTAAGATTAAACCCATTTTACATGCAATGCATGCTGATCTGTTGGCGGGACATTTTGGAAAGGAAGGGACTTATCAACAAATTATGGTCAGATATTACTGGCCTCAAATGGGTAAAGATATCAAACAATATATCGAAGCTTGCAATACGTGTCAAAGACGAGGAAAGCCCAAAACTCAAGAACCACTACACCCAATTAAGGTGGATTAACCTTTTGACTGGATTGGTATTGATATTATAGGACCACTTCCGATGACACCGGAAGGGTATCGTTACATAGTAGTGGCCACCGATTATCTTACTAAATGGCCAGAAGCCAGAGTGCTTAAAAGTGCTAATGCTGAATCTGTTGCATCCTTCCTTTTGGATAACATTATATACCAACACGGAAGTCCCCATGAGTTACTATCTGACCAAGGTACTCACTTCTGCAACAAATTGGTGGACACCATTTGCAAGAAAATAAAAGTTTGCCATCATACGTCCACTACCTACCATTCTCAAACAAATGGATTGGTAGAAAGGTTCAACCAAACCTTATGCGAAGTATTGGCTACATCAGCAAAAATATATATACGTAAACTTTCGTGAGTTTTTACGGTGCGTAAGAAAATCATAAACTTACGTAAAATTTAGCATAAAACTACATAAATCTTACAGTGTGTAAGAAAATCGTAAATTTACGTAAAAATTTTACGTTGGTTTACGTAAATCTTACGTACCGTAAAAACTTACGAAAATTTACGGAAGTATATAAAAATTTATAAATCCTAAAATTTAAATCTCAAGAAAAATAA